AGTTTTGTGAAAGAGGAAAAGACTATCACTCTTGCGCCATTAACACCAGCACAAGTGTATGAGGACCAAATCAAATTGAAAAATTAGGAAGATTAGAGAGCTAGAGAAAAAGAGAGAAAATAGTGAGGTGGCTGGTGAAGAAGAAAAAAGAGTGGGGCCACATGAGAGAAAAGAAAGAGAGTCTTCCAAGAGGAGAGAAAAGCCGAAAGTAAATTTCTTTGCAAAAGGGAGTGAATTGAAAAAGGCAATAGCGGAGATGCAACGAATGATTCTTTTGGTATATAAGGAATGACTCCTCAATTTTGAGGAGTCTAACACATCCCTCCCTAGTTTGGCTACTTCTTTATTGCAGAAATTTGACGATGTGTTTCCAGAAGACGTGCCTAGTGGATTGCCATCCATTAAGGGGATCGAACATCAAATTAATTTCATATCTGGAGCTGTCATTCCAAACCGACCAGCTTATCGAAGTAATCTGGAGGAGACAAAGGAGCTTCAAAAGCAAGTGGAGGAGTTGATGAGCAAGGGTTATGCAAGGGAGAGCATGAGTCCATGTGCTGCACCCGTATTGTTGGTGACAAAAAAAGATGAAACTTGGAGGATGTGCGTGGATTGCCGAGCTATCAACAACATTACGATAAAGTAACGTCACCCAATTCCTAGGTTAGATGACATGTTAGATGAATTATATGATGCTTGCATCTTTTCTAAAATTGACCTTAAGAGTAGGTATCATCAAATTCATATGTGGGAGGGTGATGAATGGAAAACGGCATTTAAAACGAAATATGGGCTATATGACTGGCTAGTTGTGCCATTTGGACTCACAAATGCACCAAGCACGTTTATGCAATTAATGAACAATGTTTTGCGAGCTTTCATTGGAAAATTTGTTGTGGTTTACTTTGATGATATTCTAATCTATAGCAAGGACCTAGGACAGAATTTAGAACATCTTAAATGTGTGCTTGTGATTTTAAGAAATGAACGACTTTATGCTAATTTCAAGAAGTGCACATTTTGCATGGATAGAATCATATTTCTAGGATTTGTGGTGAGTGCTAATGGGGTTGAAGTTGATGAGGAAAAGGTAAAAGCTGTTAAAGATTGGCCAACACCTAAAAACATAACCGAGGTTAGGAGTTTTCATAAGTTAGCTAGTTTTTATAGGTGATTTGTTAGGGATTTTAGCACACTTGCCACACCACTTACTGAAATTGTCAAAAAGAGCGTTGGGTTTCAATGGGGTGTAGAACAAGAACATGCATTTAACACCATCAAAGAATGTTTATGTAAAGCAACTATTTTAGCACTTCCTAATTTTGACAAAACTTTCGAGATTGAGTGTGAAGCATCAGGAATAGGTATTGGAGCAGTTTTAATGCAGGAAAAGAGGCTAATAGCATACTTTAAGCGAGAAACTAAGTGGGGGCAGCTCTTAACCATCCTACTTATGACAAGGAGCTTTATTCTCTAGTTTGAGCCTTAGAGACATGGCAACACTACCTATGGCCAAAGGAGTTTGTTATTCACACCGACCATGAATCATTGAAACATTTGCGGGGTCAAGGTAAGTTGAACAAACTACATGCACGTTGGATGGAATTCATAGAGACTTTTCCATATGTCATTCGATACAAACAAGGTAAGAAAAACATAGTAGCTGATGCATTGTCACGAAGCTTGGATGGGAAAAAGAAAGTCGAATTGGTGAATACACTCCATGAAAAGGTAAGGGAGCAAATAGAGAGGAAGAACAATCAATGCACAACACAAGCAAACAAAGGCTAAAAATATGTCACTTTTGAATCGGGAGATTGGGTTTGGGTGCATTTTAGGAAAGAGCGATTCCCAGAGCAAAGAAAATCAAAGTTATTATCACGAGGAGATGGATCGTCTCAAGTGATTGAGAAGATCAACGACAATGCTTATAAGATAGATCTTCCAAGTGAGTATAGTATTTCTGCAACTTTTAATGTTTCTTACTTATCTCTTTTCGATGCAGGTGCAGATTCTAGGTCAAATCATTTCGAAGAGGGAGGGGATGATGTGATCCAGGAAGCACAAGTACCAAAGTCAAGTCCAGAGTCGAGCTCGAGGAAAGATCCGTTGATAGTTGAGGGGCCAATGATACGATCGAGGGCCAAGCTCGTGAAAGAGGTGATGGGATTACTCGTTAAAGCAATGGTTGATGAAACAATGTTCGGGATGCAAAATGGAGCAAGTTTCGTGTTGATCTAGAAAGCACAAGTACCAAAATCAAGTCCAGAGTCGAGCTTGAGGAAAGATCCATTGATAGTCAAGGGGCCGATGACGCGATCGAGGGCCAAGCACGTGAAAGAGGCGATGGGATTGTTCATCAAAGCAATGTTTGATGAAACAATGTTTGGGATGCAAAATGGAGCAAGTTTCGTGTTGGGACGAAGGTCGAAGAGTATTGGATCAACGTGTTTAAAGCTGAAGAAAACGGAGCTGGAGCAATAAACCATGCGGTCACACAGGTCTAAAGTCTTGCTATCGCATACACCTAGCAGAAGTCCCATAGTCGCAGACTAATTGCACTATACGACCGAATGCTCTAAAGCTATGCGGCTACATAGGCCAAGTCCAAGGTGAATTTTTCCAAATTTTGAATTTTTTTCCTTATTTTAATAGAATTTCATTATTAGTAGATTTTTACCATAATTAGGCTATTGTGGACGAATTTTGCATTATTCTTAGATATTTTTCCTAGTTTGCTTAGGTTATCTAGAATAGTATAAATACTTTATTCCTTATTGTAAAAAATTACAACTCTCATATTATGGAATATTATTCGTGAGGCATTAATTGATTTCTCTTGTTTTTCGTTGAACAACTTGTGAACTTATCAAGATTAATCTTGTGACGTAAAAATCAATCGGGTGAAATTCATTTAAATTGCGTAATCAAGAGGTCTGCATATTGTCGGCGATTCGGATTGCTTGGTTCCAGTTTATTGGGTTTAATCCAAAACCTTGCCTTTGTCTTGGGTTTGATTCTCAATTTGTTGTGGGTTTGGTAGTGATCGCGCTATGCGGGTTCGCATGAGAAACACTTCAATGACTTTTAAATAAATAGATGATGTTAATCTATAAATTTTTTAAAAGGGCCCATTAAGACAATATCAAAAGTCATACAAAAGGTCTAGATTTAAATCTCACCATCACATGCTTATGATTCATGTATCAAGCCTATAAGAATGTGAAGATGATGTACGTTGAAAATAATATTTAGATAAATATGCATGTTATCTTTTTAATAGTTTTAAATTTTAAAATAACTGATCAAAATGATGTCAAAATCATCAAACGAATGAAATAAGTTCAAGTTTCATAGTCACTTTTATAATTTGTGTCAATGCGTTGAAGATAAAGTTGAAATAAATATATGTATCCTTTTATAAACAGGTTAAGCAATTAAACGAGAGGTTATTCAATTCATTTTAAGAGTTATGTTAAATAGTATTTTGTTCAAAGTTTTCAGAAGACTTGCGTAAAAATCTAGTACAAAATCTAATGTTTAATCAGTTAGTTAAATCTATTGACTAGAAAGTTAATAATATAATTTCTATTTTAAGTATCCATATTGAATTGAGTATATTAATGGATGATGAAGTTTAACGGATCTATTGACTTGACATATATTTGAATAAAACCAAATTTGGGGAGAAATTATTCTTTTCCTACCTAATGGTCAAATTGAAGATCAAACATTTTGAATCAAAGGTTTATTCATGAGTCAAGAAAGTTTGGAGAAATGATTCTGTTTGTATCTAAGGATAATAAAACCAAGGTGGCGTGCTTTGCAAATTCAATGAACAAAGATTGTGATATACTACTCAAAGGTCTATTCATGGAAGAACTTCTTAGTCATTTGATTGAGATTAGAGAAGTAATTGATCGTTGTATATATAGTTAGAAGCGGAAGCAAATTGTGATTTTACTTCTTAGAGATAAGAGGTTGGGTGGAAGCAACGTTGAATTTTACCTCCTTAAAGGACAAGTTGTAGTTATCAAATTATTTTTTTCCACTAAGAAGAAAATTCAAACAAGTAAATCTACCAAATCAATTAAGGAAAGAAAGCTTATTAGTAGACCAAGTTCATGTTTGATTTTTCTATTTCTAAAGGAGGAATTCAAGTTGTATTTATCAAATGATAAACTGCCTTACAAAATATATAAATAGGCCTTAGAATGGATTCATTTTATGAGCGTGTTCAATAAGCATGTGTCAAAACCAATTGAGCACTAAGTGAGGATTTAAGAAAATAGAGTTTGTTATTTGATGCAGAAGGATTCGAGTCGAGTGACGCTGATCTATTAGATAGTTTGTTGATGGCACTGAGATACCATGAGATGACGGACAGGCGCAAAGATGGAAAATAAATGCAATCTTTCCTTAATTGGGGTAATTTTGACATGTTCTTGGTAATTTGGCCATAATTTTGGTTACGATTATCAGAATGGCTATTATGACCCCAATCCAGAAAGCTCTCTTAGCACGCACGTTGTGGCCATCTAGCTATACTTGGTGGGCATCAATTTCAAGCCCAAAATCCGTCTATTTTCCTTTTCGAAATTCAATTTTTAGTTATTTTTTACTATTTATGGTAATATTTCATTTCCCTTTTTCTAGACGTTAGAGAATCCGAATCGAGCCAAATTTTTGGCCACTTACTTCTTTTATTTCATATTTTATTTTGGTGTAATCGTTAGGATTTTACTATTTTTGGTAATTTTCGATAATTCCATATTTTGCAGCTATTTAACCCAGCTTGCGAGTTAATTTTCATCATTCTTGATTATTAATAATATTGAGTGAAGTTTTTAGAGAATTCTCTCTGTTTTTAACATTTCTTTCTTCTTCTTTCTTGCCAATCATCTGTTGCAACTAGCCTATAGGATAATCGCTATCCTACCCGGCGTCAGTTGGTATTAGAGAGTTAGTATTTTCCTGCAATGAAATTTCCATCAGTTACAATGGTTGGTGGACGTTCTCGTGGTCGTCGAGGGCAGGTTCCGATTGAGGAAGTCCCACATCGTGATCGCAATGTTCAAGATGTGGCGATTGAAGATTTGCAAAGACAAGTTGTAGAGTTAACCCAACAATTGGGGGAACAGGAGTTCGACAATCATGACGTAGAGAGTCACGAATTCGATACCAGTTTTGAAAACCCGTATCACAATCGTGCTCAAGTCTGGGAGCATCATGGATGGGAGGATCGCCATGTAGACCTGAGTTTCAGAGTGGATCTGCTGGAGTTTGCTGGTACGTTATAAGCTAAAGGTTTTATTGATTGGCTGAATGAAGAGGAGTGAATTTTTCAGTATAAGGAGGTTCCACATCATGTTAAGGTAAAATTGGTTGCCATCAAACTTAAGGGAATAGCTTCAGCATGGTGGGAACAATTGAGGTGTTCGCGAGAACGGCAAGGCAAGTCTAAGATCACTGATTGGGAGAAAATGAAGAAAAAGATGAAAGGGCACTTTCTTCCTTTCAGCTACAAGTCTTTATTTCAGCGGCTCCATTCACTGAGGTAAAATACGAGAACTATTGATGATTATACGGAGGAGTTCTATCAATTGGTAGCTCGAAACAATTTATCTGAAATGGAAAAATAGATGGTTGCAGGGTATATGGGAGGATTAAGGCAGCCCTTGTAGGATGTTCTAAGCCTTCATTCATTGTGGACAGTGCCTGAAGCATACCAGTGTGCACTTGTCATGGAAAGGCAACAAAACAGGAAGCCGGTGGTCAGAAGTGAAAGTAGTCAGCCAGTTCGACCTCAAGCATCTCATCCTACCTATCAGCCCCTACGGGATAATCCTAATTGAGGCATTAAGTGCTTTAGATGTGATGAATAGGAACATAGGGCTACTGATTGCAGGAAGCCGACTGGTCAGAAGAATAAAAATCTTCTGATTGAAGAGAATGTGATAGAGGATATCGAGGAGGTTGGAGAGCCTTATATGACGAAGGTGAAGATGAGGATGTGCTGTATGGAGATGGCCAGGAGACTCTAGTCGTTCGCAAGAGTTTGTTGACTCCCAAGGGCAATTCAGGGGACGATTGGTTGAGGACCAATGTTTTCTACACAACCTGTACAGTTGCCGATAAAGTTTGCAAGTTAATCATTGATAGTGGCAGTTGTAAGAATGTAGTGTCTGAAGAGGCTATCCAGAAACTGCAGCTTAAGACAGATCGTCATCCCAAGCCATACAAATTATCGTGGTTGAATAAAGGTAGTGAGGAAATAGTAGAGAAACGGTGTCTAGTGTCTTTTTCGATTGGAAAAAAATATTTTAATAATGCTTGATGTGATGTGGTATCTATGGATGCGTGTCATGTATTGTTGGGACGACCTTGGCAATTTGATCACAGCGCTATCCATGATGGAAGGAAAAATACTTATTCACTTAGTATCAAAGGGAAGAAAATTGTTTTGGCACCTCGCAAGGAAAAAACCACCCCTGCCCCAGTAATTAATAACAACAACCTACTTTCTATGTCCAAATTCTTAGTAGATATTGGGAGTGGAGAAATGATATATCCTCTACTACCCTGTGAGAAAAGTGAAGTGAAGGAGGACTCGAATTTACCAGGAGAAGTGCAGCAACTGCTAATGGAGTTTTCTGACTTGATGCCAGAGGATCTTCCTCTAGGGTTACCACCTATTAGGAATATTCAACATCAGATCGATCTTATTTCAGGGTTGAGTCTGCCAAATGGACCAGCATATCGTCTCAGTCCCAAGGAAGCTAAAGAGTTGCAGCGACAAGTTGTAGAATTATTGGAGAGGGAACATATTCGTGAAAGTATGAGTCCATGTGCAGTTCTTGCTCTACTAGTACCGAAGAAGGATAGGTCGTGGCAGATGTGTGTTGACAGCAGAGCAATTAACAAGATTACAGTGAAGTACAAGTTTCCAATTCCTCGTCTGGATGACATGTTAGATCAGTTGTCCGGTTCTAAGTTCTTCTCAAAAATTGACCTTAAAAGCGGATACCATCAAATCAGATCAGACCTAGAGATGAGTGGAAGAAGGAGTTTAAGACATAGCATGGATTGTATGAGCAGATGGTCATGCCCTTTAGACTGTCCAACGCGCCCAGTACTTTTATTTGGTTTATGCATCAGCTTTTACCACCTTTCATGGGGAAGTTTGTGGTAGTCTACTTTGGCGACATACTTATTTATAGTCCGACGTGGGAGTCATATTTTGATCATCTTCGTGCTATTTTTGATGTAATGAGGACGAAGCACTTATTTATCAATTAGAATAAGTGTTCTTTCTTCACAACTTCTGTAACTTTTTTAGGTTTTGTTCTATCTACTGATGGTGTTCATGCAGATCAATCCAAAATTGAAGCAGTCTTGAATTGGCTCAAGCCAAAAAGTTTGCACGATGTTCGAAGTTTCCATGGATTGGCATCCTTCTATCGCCGATTCATCAAAAATTTCAACATTCTGATAGCTCCTATCACAGAGTGCCTTAAAGGGCGTGATTTTCAATGGATTGAGGAGGCAAAGGCCAGCTTTCAATTGGTTAAGCAAAAGATGACAGAGGCCCCAATTTTCGCACTCCCAGATTTTGAGAAAGTGTTCGAGGTAAACTGTGATGCGTATGGAGTTGGCATTGGTGGTGTTTTAAGTTAGGAAGGGCATCCAGTAGAATTTTTCATTGAGAAGTTGTCGGGAACAAAAAAAATTATTCGGCCTATGATCTGGAGTTCTATGCCATAGTTCAGACTTTGAAGTATTGGCGTTATTACCTGGTATAGAGGGAGTTCATCCTTGTTACTAATCATGAGGCCTTGAAGTACATCAATGGTCAGCACAAGCTGAGTAGGTGACATGCAAAGTGGGTGGTGTACTTGCAGGAGTTTACATTTACGCTAGGCATCAAGCAAGGAATTTGAATCGAGTAGCAGATGCATTGAGCCATCGCACATTACTCCTCACTACCATGAGCACCAGAGTTGTTGGCTTTGAAGCATTTTCTGATATGTATGTTGGAGATCCTTCTGTCGGGAAGATAATTCAGAAGGTAACTGATAATCACCGACATGATTTTATTTTGCATAATAGTTATCTGTTTCGTGGAATGCAGTTGTGCATTCTAGACTGTTCACTAAGGTAGCAGATCATTAGTGAACTTTATAATGAGGGACATTTTGGGCGAGATAAGACATTGGCGTTGGTTTCTTCTGATTATTATTGCCCCAAATTGAGCAGTGACATAGCGCATTATGTGGAACGGTGTTATATATGTCAGAAGTCCAAAGGAGCTCTTACTAATGCTAGACTGCACACGCCATTACTTGTACCTGAGGCTCCTTGGTTTGATGTGAGCATGGATTTTATATTGGGCTTACCTCGTACACAACGGGCAATGGATTCCATTTTTGCTGTGGTTGATAGGTTTTCAAAGATGGCTCATTTTGTGACTTGCCGGAAGACGATGGATGCTACTCGGATTGCCCATCTTTATTTCAAGGAAATTGTACGTCTACATGGTGTTCCCCATTCAATCACTTATGACTGTGACACCAAGTTCATGAGTCATTTCTGGAGGAGCTTGTGGAAGAAATTGGGGACGAAGTTGAATTTTAGTAGTGCCTACCACTCCCAAATAGATGGTCAGACAGAGGTGTTAAATCAGAGTTTGGGAAATCTTCTGAGAAGTTTAGCAAAGACTAAACTGAAACAGTGGGAATTGGCATTGCTTCAGGCAGAATTTGCCTATAACCGATCGAAGAACAGAACCACATGATTGAGACCATTTGAGATTGTCTATGATCATAAACCATCCAGAGTACTTAACTTAGCTCCTATCCCACGTGTAGGGCGTTTCAATCACAAAGCTGATGAGATGGCAGAACACCTTTGGGGTATCCATAAACAAGTGAAGTTGTCCATTTAGGAGAGTAATTCCAGGTACAAGACTCAGGCAGATAGTCATCACCGTCAGGTAGTCTTTGATGTTGGTGATCTTGTATAGGCAGTATTAACACGTGATCGTTTTCCAGCTGTGGAGTATAATAAGCTTAAGAAGCGAAAGATTAGACCGTGTAAAGTGCTCCAGAAGATCAATGATAACACTTACAGGTTGCGTCTTCCCAGCCATTTGAAGACTTCCGATGTCTTCAATGTGAAACATCTAAGTCCATGTTTTGTGGAGTTTGATGAAGCTAATGTGAACTCGAGGGCGAGTTCTTTCCAACCCAGGGCGACTAATGCAGGAGGATTCGAGTCGAGTGACACTGATTTGTCAGATAGCTCGTTGATGGTGCTGATATACCATGAGATGGCGTGCAAATATGGAAAATAAATGCAATCTTTCCTTAATTGGGGTAATTTTGACACGTCCTTAGTAATTTGGCCATACTTTGACTACGGTTATCAAAATCGCTATTATGACCCCAATCCGAAAAGCTCTCTTCGACGCGCACATCATGGCCACGTAGCTAAGCTTGGTGGGCATCAATTTTGAGCCCAAAATCCATTGTTTTCCTTTCCGAAATTCAATCTTTAGTTATTTTTTACTATTTATGGTAATGTTTCGTTTCCCTTTTTCTAGACATTAGAGAATCTGGATTGAGCCAAATTTTTGGCAACTTACTTCTTTTATTTCATATTTTATTTTGGTGTGATCGTTAGGATTTTTCTATTTTTAGTAATTTTTCGATAATTCCATATTTTGTAGTTATTTAACCTGACTTGTGGGTCAATTTTCGTCATTCATGATTATTAATAATATTGAATGAAGTTTTCAAAGAATTCTCTCTATTTTTGGCGTTTTTTTCTTCTTCTTTCTTGTGAATCGTCTGTTGCAACTAGCCTATAGGATAATCGATATCCTACCCAGCGTCATTATTAAAAGAGATAGAGAGTTTGAAATACTTCACAACTCCTATTTGAAACTTATCTTGTAATCTCCTGTTCCTCTTTTATAGTAAAGTCGCATTATTTCTTGAGTGAAATCTTGGTCCAAGTTTTGCTATTTTTCATCTTAATGGTGATAAAATTGAGTAGACATGTGAAAAGGTGAACGCCAAATTTAATAATCGGATATTTTTTATTGAACACGTGAGAAATTCTACCCATTTAATTGAGAAATTTTTAGAGGATAGCATATGTTGTTTTATTATGTAATGACAGAGTCAAGAGTACTACTTGTTTGGGTAGGCGTGGGGGTGGGGGTGCTAGGACTAGAGATGAATCGAAGGTAGTAATTATTGAGTACTAGGATTTTATTTTATAATATCAACCTTGTCAAGAGAAGTAATTACATCTTTATATGCTAATTATTGTTTTTATATTTAAGCAACGTGAAATTTTACACTTAACATGCTCCTAAAAGATGACTTGCTCGTTTGAAGATTTAGATGAATCGAATTACTTATTTAAACTTATTATGGAGTGCTTAAGGAATTATTATTTTCAATATCTAATCAATATTAAGGTGATAACGAACAATATGCCTTAGTTAAATACAAAGATTTAGTACTGTTTCCAGCTTGTATCTGAGATGAAGGACAATGAAGAATATCTATGGAGTCTGACGTTTCTGTTCTTTCTCTATACAAAATTTCTTGTTCATGGCTCATTAGGTCCTCCAAAAGCGACCTGAAATTTGATAAGTAAGGGCACATTTTCAGCAGTTTTGAGTCACAAATTTGGATTGGAACTTGGGATTTTGTTTGATAATTAAATGAAGTTTATTAGTTGATCATAATTCATAAGAAGTATTTATATATACTAACTGGATAATTGATCTCATCGTGTACATCAGCATACATATAAAACATAAATTGTATATTATTTATTTATTTATTTCTTTGACAAGAGACCATCAGCATCAACTAAATGCAATATGTTAGGACAAGACCACACGATATTAAAATTGAGAAACAAGAAAATCTCAATCGAACAGAAATAAATTGCAGAAAATTAAAAGAACATAGAGAAATTATTTCGTCCTAAGCCCCAGAGGTTCAGCGACCACATCTAACACCTACATCCCCCGTTGAGCATCCAAAGATTTGGATTGTGCTCGATTGCACTAAACAGCCAAAACTGGTAAAAGATTTCCAGAACATTCAGAGAGATGAAAATGAGACTTATCTCTCAAGTACAGCAACAGATCTACAAAGATTCACTCAGATCTCAGCCCACAAAACCTTCAAACACCACCAAATGATACAATAGAGAAATCACTCAGATTTCTTCACCTTTCACACAGAATACAAAAATCGAAGGAAAATCTTACTATACTTAGTGTAAAATCAGAGATTTTACACAAGAATCACTCAAAGAAAATCAACCTCTCTCAAATCGCCAATCCTTTTCTCTCTGAAAATCCTAGAGTCGAGAGCAAAAATGAAGGGTTCATTTTTTACGTTCCAGAAGGCTCCAGCCATTTAACAAAAGGCAGATGAAACAGTTTAATCCAACGCCAGAAATAGTCCACATGTTGGCCATCCAGTAAAGTGTCAAAACTTACTAAGTCGTGTTTAATAAAACACGGTTTCATCATAAATCAAATTATGGAAGCATTAAATAGGCGAACAAGGTTCGACTCCAACAATCTCCACCTTGCTGCTAGAATTTGAGCTATTAGTGCAGCCAGGAGCATAATCTTACGCCTGTATAAGAATCACAAAGAATTAACAGATAAAAGTTTTAAGGAGGTTAAGAATTTGTTTAAAGGAATTACTTTTGTACCCATATCAGATGGATTAAATTGAGTAGAAACTTTTTCAATCTTAATTTCACCTTTCGAGATTATATCTCTTATAAAATGATATTTAACATCAATATGTTTAGATCTATCATGGAACATGGGATTTTTACTTGGGTGAATAGCACTTTGGTTATCAGAAAACAGTACAATGTGGTTATCATTAAAACCCATTTCAGACAATAAACCATTTAACCATATTCCTTCTTTAACACCATCAGTTGCAGCTATATATTTTGCCTCAGTAGAGGACAAAGCCACAACTTTTTGAAGTTGAGATTTCCAACTGATAGCAGTACCACACAGTGTATAAAAGTAAGATGAGGTTGATTTTCTGTTATTTCTATTTCCAGCAAAATCAGAATCAGTATACCCTTTTAAACTTATTCCATTTTTATCTGATTTAAACATTAAGCCTAAATTTAATGATCCCTTAAGATATTTCAATAACCATTTTAAGGCATACCAATATTCTTCACCAGGGTTACTCATAAATCTACTTAAAATGCTAATACTATATGCAAGATCAGGTCTGGTAAATATCATCAAATACATCACAGAACCAATTACATTAGCATACGAAATTTTTGACATTCTAGCATATTCATCTTCAGATTTAGGACAAAATTCAGAAGACAATCTAAAATGACTAGTAAGAGGCAGTGTTACAGGCTTACAATCATGCACGTTGAGTTTTTTCAATATTTTAGACACATAGTCACATTGATTTAAAAATAACATATTTTTATCCTTGTTTCTCCAAATCTGCATGCTCAATATTCTTTTAGCAGCACCAAGGTCTTCCATATCAAACTTAGAACTTAACTTTGATTTAATATCATCAATTTTTGATATATCAGAACTAGCCAACAACATATCATCCACATACAGGATCAGATATAATGAGTTTTCAACTCTACTACCTTTGCAATACAAGCAAGTATCATATTGGCTTCTTTTAAATCCAAGTTTCAAGACAAAAGTGTCAAATCTTTTGTACCACTGCCTAGGTGCCTGCTTTAGGCCATACAAGCATTTTTTTAACAAACAAACAGTGTTTTCAGGATCACCTTCCTCAAAACCAATTGGTTGTCTCATGTATATTATTTCATCTAATTTTCCATAAAGGAAAGCAGTTTTAACATCTAGTTGATCAAGTTCCTGTTTAAATTGTGTAACAAGTGCAAGTAAGCATCTGATAGTAACATACTTAGCAACAGGAGAAAAAATTTCAGTATAATCCACACCTTCTTTTTGTGTGAAACCCTTTGCTACAAGTCTAGCTTTATATCTAATGTTTTTATCATCACCTTCTCCAAATTTTATTTTATAAATATACTTGCAATCAATTAATTTCTGTCCTTTGGGCTTATCAACTAGTATCCATGTCTTATTTTTAAGGAGTGAAGACATTTCATCTTCGATGGCCATCTTCTAATTTTTTCTTTCTTTACATTTCATGGCTTCTTCAAAAGTGTTTGACTCATTTTCAGTGAGGTCTTGGTAGGTAAATAAGGATACAAAGGTGTCACTATCAAATCTAGTGGAGGGTCTGATTTGCCTTCTCTCCCTATCTCTTGTGAGTTGATACTCATCAAAGGGAAGAGTTGTAGAATCAGCCTCTTCAATATGTTCAGTTTCATCTTCAGTTTCAAGTAAAATAACATGTTCTTCATTTTCATTTTCTTCTGCAGTAGTTACATAAATATTCTGGTTACTGCAGGAAGGCTCCACCTCAATTTGAACATTTTTTTCAGTCAAAATATTTTCTTTTCCTTCAAGACATGAGGATTCATTGAAGACTACATCCTTTCTAATTATTACTCTCTAACCTTTTTCAAATTTAACCCATAATCTGTACCTTTTAACATGTTCATCATAACCCAAGAAGACACACTTAATGATCTTGGTTCTAGTTTACCAACATTTTGATGAGCATAGGCAGCACAACCAAATATTTTTAGATAAGAGTAATTTACAGGACTATTTGACCACACATTTTCAGGAATAGCAAAGTTTAGTGCACTAGT